AACGAAAAAAGAGTTTCTTACATATAATTTGGAGATTCTTCTATGTTTCTGCAGAAGCCATGTTTAGGACTTCAAATTCAAACGGGCCGGATTCATTTAATATATCTGAAGCAAGAAAATATTCCGCTAACCGGAAAAGGCGAGTCTTCAGGTTTCCCAAATTGAGGACTGCTAGCCGTAGCATATATATCTGTAACATTTAGTGAAGGTGGCAGATTTATCTTCATCCTGAGTCCCTTGGCACAGGCTAAAAAACAACCGTTCAGTGTGGCTTCTGTAAAACGAATTAAGTTCACTGCCGCTTTCGTCACTGTTATTAAGCGGCTGTCAGGTAACCCACAAAATGTATCTCGACCAAAAGGTCATAATTGCATTTAGTATCCTTACAATGTTTTCAAACAGTGTTGAAATAAGTGAAAACAGGAAACCAGAACATCTACAAATGTCCGATATGCATTTACGGTAAAACTGTAAAGATTTAAACACCAAGAAATATTTGACTGCAATTTCTGCATTTTGCAGCGGTATTGCTTTTGGTTTAAGGAAATACTAATATTATTGAAATTGTGCTAGTCAGTTCGTGAAAGACCAGTGAAATATGGCAGATGTATACCAACTTGATGAGCTTTTGAAGTGACATCCTGGCAAAATGTGGACAAGCATTGTCATGAAGCACATCGATTAAACAGTGACCATCAAATTTTTTATAACTGAATGTGAATTTCATCCAGTTTCTGACAGTAAACTTTAGCAGTGATGCTCTGGTTAGAATACAGAAAGCTGTAAGGAATAACGCCAATGGCGGCCTACCAATGAGTCACTATAATCTAGTTTTAGTGCAATATCGCTTTTGAAAATATTTGAAACCCATTTTCAGTGGCTGCACCTAGCTCGCACAAAGAGTATTGCCCTGATATCAAAATTGTCCGGATATTACTTGTGCACAAGAACAGATAAAAAATATATAGGTAACAGGGCCTGGCCACGCAAATCAGAGAAATGCACCAGGCGGAAGTTCAAGTTCTCGTTGTTTTGGTTGACGCGTTCGGGATTCTTTCCAGAAAATTTTCTGCTTCGTAAAACACCTTGGGGACACCTGACATCTTTGGAAGTCGCAAGTGGTAGGACTGCTTGAAACAGCTCATGTGTTGAAAGTGTTGTGTCTGTAAATTGCGGTCATCATTATCAACGGGCAGAATAATAATATTAATAATAATAAAATTATAATATGATAAAGATGTAGAAGAAAAATATGAAGAAGAAGATGGGGAAGAAGAAGAAGAAGAAGAAGAGGGCAAAGAAGAAGAAGAAGAAGAAGAATTAGTAGAAATAAAACCAGAACAAGAAGAAGAAAAAGAACCAGACATAGAAGATGGAGAAGAAGAAGAAGAATATGAAGAAGAAGCTGAAGAAAATAAAGTAGTAGACGAAACAGCAGCAGAAGAAGATGATGAAGAAGAAGAAAATGAATAATAATAATAAGTAGTAGTAGTAGTAGTAGTTGAAGTAAAACCAGACTAAGAAGAAGCAAAAGAACAAGACATAGAAGAGGGAGAAGAAGAACATGAAGAATAAAATGAAGAAAATGAAGTAGTAGACGAAAAAGAAGAAGATGATGATGAAGAAGAAGAAAAAGAAAAAGAAGAAGAAGAATAGGAAAAAGAAGAAGAAGAAAAAGAAGAAGAAGAAAAGGAATACAGCGACGTCGAAGAAGACAATGACGTCGAAGAAGAAGAAGAGGAAGAAGAAGAAGAAGAAAAAGAAGAAGAGGAATACAGCGGCGTCGAAGAAGACAATGACGTCGAAGAAGAAGAAGAAAAAGAAGAAGAAGAAGAGGAATACAGCGACGTCGAAGAAGACAATGACGTCGAAGAAGAAGAAGAAGAAGAAGAAGAAGAAGAAGAAGAAGAAGAAGAAAAAGAAGAAGAAGAAGAGGAATACAGCGACGTCGAAGAAGACAATGACGTCGAAGAAGAAGAAGAAGAAGAAGAAGAAGAAAACGAAGAAAAAGATAAAAAAAAGAACATCAATTCTCTTATATAGCTGTGATTGCTAGAATATTTACTTGCAGATGAAGATGAATTTTGAAACAAAGGATATGTACTTCTACAGAAGAATACTAACAAAGAAAAAGGAAACTAAACTTGACATTTGTACTTATAGTCGGCAAGACAGAGTTAAAATATTTGGGACACATTATAAGGAAGGATGGCTCGGAGAATCTGGCACTCGCAAGATATATTGGAGTCTTGGGAATGCATTTGTGTTAATGGATGACAGAAAAAGGAATGGGTGGGGTGGTAAGGAGGTAAACATCACTAGACGTTGTGATGAGCCACGATCACCCACATCCTCAATGGGAACAGATTAGACAAGATGAAGGATCATTCGCATACCTGAAATAGAAATTAATCACGTCAAATGATACGTTATCGAGACGTCACTTGGTGCCTGTATCTTTCTCTAAGGTGGCCCTGAAAATTTGGAAAGTGCCTTCTCCCTAAATGCCACCAGCAAAGAAAACTTCTAGTAAATTAAAGACATTTTTTTATATTTATACATTCTTTTTATAGATACAAATATTTAAGTAAATGATGTGTTTATAATAAACAGTATAAAACAACGTTTATTATAAACAGAGCATTTACTTAAATATTTGTATCTATAAAAAGAATGTATATACATAAAAATGTCTTAAAATAATTGTCGGGCATTGTCCATTTCATAATTAACCGTTATGTATTGAAGGAAAGTGGATAACCAGTGGTTAAAAACGGAAAATAATCAATTTGCGGTGACATATTTCCTCCTCCTCCTCCTCCTCCTCCTTCTTCTTCTTCTTCTTCTTCTTCTTCTTCTTTAACTGACTATACACTCTTTCTTCATATTATCTTAAGAAATTTTAACGTTCTGTGTCTAAATATCCTTTTTCTTTCCATTTGTTTTAAAAATTACGTCATTGCTCACATGCTCAATAGTGTTAGCCTACTGTGGGTCCAAATTCTTGCTACCTCAATTCCTTTGATTGATGTATTTTTTTACGGCGTATCAAACTTTTGCAGGTTGTTTAAAGCCAGAAAATATTGTAAGCGTTCTATTAAGATAATAATAATTTATTCATCCGAGTCCTACTATTTAATCCATATCTGAGGCGAAAAGAGATAGATTCGGGTCTTTACCAAAGGTACCTCCGCGTAAATGAATATAACAAAACCCTGTGGAATCAGCTCTCCGAAATCTCACTCCTACTCATTATCCATACACACATCTAAGGTCATCCATCAAGGTACTGTGTCTAGTTTGTCCAGCATTCACCGCCATATAGGAGGACTGATATTACGTTACAATTCAATACTTCTTTCTGTTTCTCAATATTTTACGTAGCTTTTGAAAGGCATCTTTCGTTACCCGATGCGCCTGAGGATTACAACGTCACACTTCCCGTCTCCTGTTAAAACACTTCCCAGATATTTAAATTGTCGGACGTGTTTCATTTTGGAATCTCCATTTTTTGATTTACATGTTGGGCTTTGCCTTTAACTAAAAAAAGATGCATTCCGACTTCTTGTTTTATTCTAACTTTCATTAAATATATTCTGTAAGAATTCTTTTCACTTTCGGATCGCCATATCTTACGAATGATGAATCCTAGTAGAACGTGATACGATCTCTCAAACTTAACATTACAATATATAGGGTGAAGTTTATAAATTGTCGCCATTTTATATTTTTATTTTACTTTTGCGCATGCGTGTTGTCTGTTCCTGAGTTTGTCGACTGCACAGTATAGAAATTTCATTTGGGCACCATCTCTGAGAAAAAGAGCATTATCACGCAATTTACTTCGTTAAAAGTTAGAAACGGCATGCTCTATTTTGTGGCATTGGCACCGGAAGCTCCAATGCGAATATTTGAAAGGTTTGGGTGTCAATCTGAGGACAGTGCAGAGTATTCGGAAACATTCGGATGATATATCCAGTCAACATCATGTTGCTTGGAGGGATCACTAGTGATTATCACGATATACCTCCATTCATCCTCCCACATGGCGTCAGGCTCAACACGGAGGCCTAAATCAAGTGGCTAAAAGAGGTACCGCTGCACTGGATCAAGATCATGTTGGAAGATCCTATGTCTGGCAACAGGACTCTGAACCATGCAACTTCTGCGAATCTGATTTCTGCATCTCACTGGGATATATAGATTTGTTTCTTCTCCATCTAGTGCGGCTGTTCTTATATATAACATTCGCGCGACTTTTGTTATTCATACGCGTGTATATACGCGTCGCATATAGATCGATCACACATTTACATGTCGAGGGAAGTCACTGATATCGGATTAAGTTTGGATCTCGTCAACCAGCTGATGCTCTTGGCTCTGTTTGTTATAATACTGAGTAGCAATGTATTCTTGAATCATCTGAAGTGAATCATATATTGCAAAAATAATGAGGTAAGAGAACATGTCAAAGCAGTTATAAAAGAGATATTAGATAGAGTTAAAATTAAGCAAGGATTACGGCCGTAACTCATTGAAAGATCGGTTCCCGTACCATCATTGAAGTTAACCAACAGCCAACCTGATCTACATGGCGGAACGTTTCAGAATACCAAGTGCTGTTGCTTGGATGTGCGGGTGGTGTAATGGATAACGTCTCGGAATTGTTAATTGGAGTGCCGAGTTCCAAATTCAGTCAGGTTCGTTATTTTCACTTACGCCGAAATAACATCGGAAAGGGTAAAAATCCACCTGTTCTACCCCTAGCATTGAGTTAATTATTAAGTCTTGTGTAACGTATCCATTATTATCTCGAAAAATCTTATACAATCTAAAAAAAAAATTCTGGCTGTAAATAAGCTGTAAGTCAAACGAACAAAATAAAGAATTATAGAAAGAATGAATGAATGAAACAATCAAAGAATGAATGACAGAATATAGAGTGAGAATCGCATTTTGTATCTATACTATGTATTTAGACTCACTCAAAATGTGGAATATTAAGAAAGAAAGAAAGAAAGAAAGAAAGAAAGAAAGAAATCGTCGCCTCTTGTTATTTCTGCTTCGCTTTGAACTAGCGTTGAAATATTCTGGCTAGGGAACGAATCCAGGTACTAGCCCATGAGGATAGACAAACTGAGAGCGACGAAAGTGAAAATCAGTTGTTACGCTTTACGTAATAGGAAACGTCATTTTTAGAGTGACAATTGTATACAACTATATTATTTTTTTCCAAATCCAAGAACGGTTCGTTTCAACATTGCCCAAATTGCAATCTATGACAACTAAAAGAACTAAACGTGTCATATATTTAAGAAAGAAAGAAAGAAAGAAAGAAAGAATGGGAATAAAAGAATTAAAGAGAAAATAAATAAATTGAAGCCGGTACGAACGAAATAGAAATGAAAGGAAAAAAAAAGGAAAATACAAGAATAATGAAAACATGATATAAAAGAAAATAAACAAGAAAAACTAGAGAACAGTCAAAAGGAAAGAAAAATGAAAAAGAATGAAAAATATACAAGAAAATACATAAAAAATACATGGAAAGAAATAAAGAAAAAAGTATGGAAGATATAAAGGAAGAGAAAAAAGTAAAACGTGGATGGAAGGAAAAAGGTGTAAACGAAAGAAAGAAAAAGAAAGAGCAGTTAAAATGCGCAAAGAAAGAAAAAAAGAAAGAAAGAAAGAAAGAAAAAAAGAAAGAAAGAAAGAAAAAAAGAAAGAATAAAAGATAATAGGAGGAGAGACAAAAAAGATTTCATTGGTTGATTTTACTTAGCTGCATATCAACATATCTATAGGTTATTTAATGCCGGAATCGAAATATTTTGAACGCAATTTTACGGCTTCAACTAAATTTATTTTGAACGGAATTGTATGCCTTCAACTACTTATATAATATATTGGTAATAACAAATGCACGCAGATGTAGGCTTTAAGACAGCTTTCTTCAGCTGAGAATACATTGTTCGCGTATAGTGTCCTTTTATAGTCCCAGTAAACAGAAATAGGTCTCTCAAAGAGGAGAGTAACAAAACAAGGGGAGACTACTCTTGATTATTCATAACTGTATTGTTAGTAATTTTGTCATAAAATGTATTGCTGGTAATTCTGCTATAAAATGGAATGCTGGTAAATCAACTAGAAAATATATTGTTAATTTTACTATGGATGTTTGCTGGTCATTTTAGTAAAAATATGCATTGTTGGTCATTTTTATAAATATGCATTATCGGTAATTATTTTATAAACTATAACTGTTTTCAAGACGCTGACTCGTCTAGATAACCTCAAATTATTTTGTATTGTTTGAGGTTATAGCTTACATTTTTGTCGATGTTTACAAATTCTACGTTTCGTTTCGTTCAATTTCGCAAACCAATCGATGAAATTTAAATAAACTAATTTGCTTGGAAAAATACTTTGACAAAAACTCCTACTTCACGAGAGTATATGCATTAAATTTGATTAAGATTAATGTTTACCGTAGATGCTGTTAAATATAAAATTGGTCTTCCGAGGTTCATATTTTTGGTACCACGAATCCTGTCTCAGCAACGCGTCGATAAACTGCAGAAAATGTTGCATGACTCGGCTGCCTTTGGTCTAGAAACGCAATCTGATACACACGTGCGAACTCGCATCCGTTACCATTCGTGTGGCCGTATCTTCAAATCATATCTGCCTGCTCACAAGATTTCTTAGAAGAACGAAGGCTTAATAATGGAAAAGAAAAGTCATAGTGAAAATGTGCAAATGTTTCACCCCAAGCAACGCAATAATGTCCCTATGACGCAGGGTGTTTCCGTGTGTGAAAGGATATAAGAAAAAAAAAAAGAAGAAATTATCAAGGAGAGGGAACAATAAAAGAACAGGTATTAAGAAGACAAATGATAACGATTGACATTGCATTTCAATTTTAAAACGTCAACGTTGGCTGGAAAGTAAGAAGCCGTCAAAGAGTTCCACAAGCGAAAATGCAAGAAGATAGAATAACTAAGAATGTACACGAATAACAAATGTAACCTAGTCAACTTCACAACACAGCGCCATCTACCTTAAATTTTCTTGAAACTAAATAACTTAAAAACGAGTGATTTTCGCACATTTGTGTCCTTGTTTTGGTGTGAGGATACCAGCCCCAAAAGTTTGAAAATTATTTTTGATAGACACACACACACAATATATATATATATATATATATATATATATATATATATATATATATATTTACTTATTATAAAAAGCAGATTGTGTGTGTGTGTGTGTGTGTGTGTGTGTGTCTGTAACGTTTATATATTGGATCGGATTTCCTACATTTTTCAACCGATTTCAACAAAACCTCACAGGACTACATAAAATTACCTTGTGGTGGTTCTAACAGCGCCAAAAATGGGGAAAATATAATCGTTTTTGCACAAAATCAATTTGAAAATACGATTAAGATATCGTGAAAACGGAAGGGGGACAACTCACATCGGATTTCCCATATTTTTCAGCTGATAAAACAAAACTTCAGTTTTTTTTTTTTTTGGCAGGTAGTGTTTCTTATTCTCTTGCTCACTTTTTTCTTTATTTTTACATTCAGAATGCTTTAAAAATTCCATTTACAAGACAATTATTTATAATAAAATTCAATCTGGAAACTCATAACGATTGAAAACAATGTTTTTGTTTGAGTTCGGGTTTGACCAATTCGTTAAAAAAAAAAAAAAAAAATATTAAAGACATGCGTGTCCATCAACCTTAAACAATAATCTTTGTCAATTTTATTTTTCAGTCTTTATGATGGTGGATACTTGATCTATCTCTTACTGTTATATCCCCTGGCAACGCCGGGCTCTACTGCTAGTATATATATATATATATATATATATATATATATATATATATATATATATATATATAGTGTGTGTATGTGTGTGTATGTATTTGTATTTTTATATATAAATTTATTGCTGGTAATTTTACTATAAATATGTTTATTTTATACTCTTATAGTGTTCTGTTTTTGTTAGTGGATTTACAGTTTGATCATAGTGATGACCACAACAGGTGGTACCACCTGGATCAGGATAAAACGGATAACAGCAGCAATTATGAAGTGATTCCACGCTCCTTAAAACTTTCAGTCTCCCGATCAAAGGCCTTGCTGCCGGGTGTAGTTTATCGTCATACCCAGGACTAAAGCAAAAAAGAGAAGTTGGAAAATGTAAGATAAAGAGGAGAAACTAAAGGATGTAATCAAAAAAGGATAGAGAAAAGAAAAGAAAGAAAACGGAGGAGAAATGGAAAAGAAAAGAACAGACGACAGAAAAAAAATAAAAAAAGAAAGGTAAACTTTGATAGTAAAGCAGGTAAACGAATTAAAAGCAAAAAGAACGAGAACGCAATATGCGAAAAGAAAGAATAAAATGGGAGGAAAGAAAGCCAAACAAATTCGCAAGAGGCATGGCACGTGGAATAATCTATCTGGTGCATAAAATACAGGGTTCAGTTCGAATTTCCAATCATCTGAAGAAGAGTACAATGCCCGAAACGCCGAGAATATGGCAATAAATATAAGGACAGGAATAAAATGGGAGGAAAGAAAGCCAAACAAAGAATGGAAGAAAGATGGAGGTGGAAACGGAAAGAGAAAGGGAAGAGGTTAAGTAAATAGATGATAGAAAAAGAAAAAAACATACTAAAAATAAGCACAGAAAAAAGAAAATGGGAGAAAGAAAGAGAAAGAAAGAAATCAAAAGACAAAGAAAGAAAAAAAAAAGAAAAACAAATATGGCGACGAAATGAATGCATGTAACAAATACAGAATTAAGATAAGAAATACAAGAAAAACAATAAATAAATCCAATGCGAGTGTAAAAGATAAAAAAATAGAAGGACTTATAAAGGAAGAAAAGAAGAAAAAAGACATAAAATAAAATCTAATAAAATCATGAAACAGAAAAAGTACGACATATCAAAGTAGAAAAAGTACAGTGTGACCCGGATATAAGAGACCCGGATATAAGAGAAACCCGGATATAAGAGAGATTTTCTCTGGTCCAAAATTAGAGCCTGTGTTAATGTATAGAAAATAGACCAAACCCGGATATAAGAGAAACCCGGATATAAGAGAAACCCGGATATCAGAGACTTCTTCTCCGGTCCCGACAACTCTCTTATATCCGGGTTACACTGTACCAAAAAAATTAATCCGAAAAAAAATATTTAAAATTGCTGCCGTATTTGATCGCATGTGGAAAGTCGTATGAATTTAAAAAAAAAAAAAACCGAAAAAAAGAGAGAAATAATTAGAGTTTACAGAAGGAATGAGTCTAGAGAAAAGAAAGAAGTTAAGAAAGAAAGCAAATGTAAAAGAATTAAGAACTAAAAATGAAAAAAAAAAACACATATTGCTAAAGATAAAAGCAAACACTAAATAAATAAACGAATGAACGACAAGAAAGGAAAAAAAAATGCGAATAACGGAATCCGATGAAGAAGAAAAAAACGTAATGGCACGAGGAAGAAAATGAAAGAACATGTCCGAACACTAAATAACGAAAGTAGTAAGTATTATTCATGGCGGTATCTTGATGAAAAGCTTCGAAAAACAAAGAAAAAATAAATATGGAAGCCAATCAGAAGGTATAATTGGCGTTGTATATAATACAGGAAATGGTTTGGTGTCGCATTATGGGATACATTTTTTTTTTTTTTACTTCCTGTCTATTTTTCCACCATTTTTTTTTTCATTTGTTATAAGACTTATTGGATGATAAAAGAATCACTTACGTCCTCTTGTCAATCAAATAAAAAAGCATGTGATTACTTTGTTTCTTCTACAGTCGCACAATCACAACAAACACACCGACCCACAATCACAATCACTCACACACACACACACACACACACACACACACACACACACACACACACACACACACACATACATATATATATATATATATATATATATATACACAAAATGTGTGCATATATATATATATATATATGTGTGTGTGTGTGTGTGTGTGACAGTATTAATCTTTCCATTTACGATTTCCCAGGCGTCCATTGGCTATTACATTCTGTCTTTTCGTTTCTGGTGAATATATTTGTCCATCTTACTTCGTTACTTTATTCTCGATTTAAAAATATGAAGCCGTATTTTTTTTCTTTATTGTTTTTTTTTTTTTTTTTTTTGGCTGTGCTTTTGTTTTTTCATATTTTTCGTTTACAATCTGTACATATACGATCTTAACACCGTCGATGTGAAGGAATTTGGAATGCATTCAACAACTCGATGACGCATTGTACTAAAATTGCACTTGTATATATCTTCAAGTTCTACACCCAAAGCGAATAAATAAATAAATAAATAAATATTGTCCGGGAATTATAAATTTAAATTTTAAATATCAAATAAATGTTCTGATTTCATCCATATAATATACTAATTTGAGGTAAGAGCCAATGAAAATCTAGAAAAATAGAAATGAATAATAGTGCTTCCCTAGAAATACAGGAGCTCATCATAATAAACCTCTTTTAATAACAAAAAAGAAGCTAAATGTTAGCAGAAAAACACAAATCAGAACATTAAAAAGAAAACTTGGCGGAAAAGGAACACAACAAACTGGCAAAATGAATTTCACTCTTTTAAAGGAGAATATATATATATATATATATATATATATATATATATATATATATATATATATCAAGGAAAAATTTAACGCATCATCGAAACCTTTGTCGTTAAGTTTTTCCTTTGATGTATATATTATAGCTCTGTATACTATATATTGAACTCTCTTTATAGACTATCTTTTAGTATTTTATCTTAAAAAAACTTACTTGGATTATCCTTTCCACTTATGGATCTGATGTTATCTATCTATCTATCTATCTATCTATCTATCTATCTATCTCTCCCTATATATATATATATATATATATATATATATATATATATATATATATATAATTTTTTCGTTTCATTTCGTTGTAAGTGTTATCTGATGATCCGCGTCCTTTTAAAAGGACTCTGGTGAAATAAATTATTATAATGGTACCTTAAAGTGGTTTGTTTTTCTTTTAAATATTAGCTCTGGATTTACATTGAGCTCTCAGGATTTCATCCTCCTTGGGATTACCCATACGGATTACCATGTTCTTCATAACTTATCTCTCTCTCTCTCTCTCTCTCTCTCTCTCTCTCTATCTATCTATATATATATATATATATATATATATATATATATGTATGTATGTATACACGCATATCATGTGACTTTTGAAGACCTTATTTTGAAGCTAATTTTAAGGGATCGCATTATAGAAGATATAAAATAAGATTATATACTGCTGAACCTGGCTACGCTTGGACACATGTCCCAGTGGATAAAAGCGTTGGTTTGATCCAGTGATTAATCCAAAGAGTTTTGTCTTCAGTATCTGGCAACTGCAGTGGTGAACAACTTTGAGAGTTGTGTTAATTGAAGCATCCGCAAGAGGCAAGGCACGTGGAATAATCTATCCGGTGCATAAAATAAAGGGTTCAGTTCGAATTTCCAATCATCTGAAGAATAGTACAATGCCCGAAACGCCGAGAATATGGCAATAAATATGAGGACAGCAGTTCGAACTATGTAAATAATAAATTTACTTTAGTCAAATTAGCTTATTCTACATTGATAATATGTACCAAATTATTAACTCCCATAAGAATTACATTTTAAGTAAATTCTACGGAAAAAAAATAAATCTAACATGGAAACCCCATGTAATTATAGAATTAAGGAAAACTGCCCAGTTGAGGGCAAGTGCAGATCAACTAGGGTAGTATACCAGACAACTATTACCCCTAACGAAATGCTTCGGCTAAGTAGAGCTTATAAAATACACTTAAAAAAGGAAACAAAGGCAGATTCAACTGACCAGATACAGAAACGATGGCAAGATAAACCGTTTCGCGGTCAATATTCTGCCCGAATCAAACAAGCTGATGTAGACAAACCCCGTACCAATCAGTAACTACATTATTTAGTCTTTAAAATCTGAAAACGAAGAAAATCTACAGGATCAATGCTTCCTAACTAGAAATTACCAGTTACACATAAGGAAAAAATTGTGTTAGTCCAAAATGCAGATTCTATCCAGATAAATATCCAGAAACAATTGACCATCTTGTATCAGGTTGCGCGGTATTGGCACGCACTGAATATAAAACACACCACGACAGAGTGGGCCAATATATGCATTGGAAAATCTGCAACACTTACGGGAAGGAAACTTTAAAAAAATTGGTATGAACACCACCCAGACCGGGTTACAGAGATCGAACATGTAGCAATTCTATGAGATTTAAAATTCCAGTTGAAGTTAAAGTCCTCGGATTGATTGGAAAAGTTTGCAGTAGATTCATTGTAGGGTTTTATATATGAACGGTTTTATATATGTTAAATATGTGGGATTTTTTTTTCAAAACTGCTCAGTTTAAAATGTCATTACGCCATTTCTGAGCTTAGAAATGAGTGTACACCAGAAACCAAAAGAAATAAAATAATAATAATAATAATAATAGCCAAGTGTTGAGAGCGTTGAGTGGAGTAACGGTTGCGGTAGATGAAGAGGTGTGTGGAAACTATCAAAACAGACTAGGTTATCTGACCCGAACGTATTTTATAAATGGGCCTTTAAAAAAGACTTAGGGACTAAGCATAAATTGCAAGAAGACATAATGTATGCTTATCAGCAAGATGATGACACCGAAATGCGATTTACGAGTCGGGGACACTAAGATCAAGCAGGCTTAATGAAAATACCTGGGAAGTGATCTGGCAGAGAACGCTAAATGAGACGTTGAGATCCGAAGACGTATGAAGATGGCAAAAAGACGCATTCCAAAAGTTAGGCAGCGTATTACGAAACAGGAGGATTTCGTTGGTAACAAAGAAAAGATTACTGAACGGCTCCGTGGTATCTGTCCTCATTTACGGCAGCGAATGTTGGATGGACTCCTCAAGGATTAAGAAGAGACGCGAGACAACAGAGGTATGATTCTACAGAATTATGCTAAGGATATCATGGACCGAACATGTGAGCAACGGTGAAGTTTTGGAGAGGATGCAAACAAGGAGGAAACTTATACTTATCATCAGCTGAAATTTCTGGGACACGTAATGAGAAAGGAGGGCTTGGAGAATCTTATACTCACAGGTCGAACAGATGGAAAAAAGACAAGCTAAAGGAAAGAAAGAAAGACATACCTGGCGGGTTTAAGCAATTTGATGGCAGAACAAGGTTTGGAAGATGTAACAAAGGGGCAAACCATATTGGGAACTACGAGGGATAGGAAGAAGTGGCAGGTTCAGGTCAGAGATAGGACAAGAACAGTGCGGGTTCGTTAAAGACACCAGAACAAGGAATGCAATTTTCATGCTCAGAATGCTATCAGAAAGAGCAATAAAAATGCTGAAGGACGCGCACCTATGTTTTATCGACTAAGCAATGGCGTTCGACAAAGTATGCGACAATGATCTGTTGGAATTGCTCGGTAACCTCGATATATTTGTGAAAGACATTAGAATAATAATGAACTGGCAGCAAACGGTCTTCATGCGAATAGAGTATGTATAAAAATAGAAAGGGGGTGAGGCAAGGATGTGTCGTGTCACAGAAATTATTCGACCTATACAGCGAGGCAATTCCGAGAAAACTGGGAATCCTACCAGGATTCATTACTGGCGGGCACAATCTTAACAACATAAAATGCGCAGATGACACAATACTAATAGCAGACACGGAAAGGTAATTACAAAACCTCTTACAGAATGTAACGAAGAAGAAGAAGGGGCTAAGCGTAAACTACAAGAAGACAAAATGCTTGCTTATCAGTAAAAAGATGAGCCGAAAATCCAATTTACGGGTTGGGGACACTAAAATCAAACAAGTACAGAACTCTAAATATCTGGGAAGTATCCTAACAGAGGACGGAAAGTGCGACACTGAGATCCTAAGACGTATTGCGATGGCCAAATTGTTAGGTAATATCTGTCCTCCTGTATGGGAGCGAATGCTGTAAATCTACTCAAGGGTGAAGAAGAGACTCGAAGCAACAAAAAAGTGGGTCTACAGAAGGATGCTGAGGATAAAATGGACGAAGTTATTGGAGAGAATGGAAATTCCTGGGGCACATAATGATAAAAGAGGGCTTGGAAAATCTGATACTCACAGGACGGACAGAAGGAAAGAGGGACAGCGGAAAGCAACGCGTGACATACATAACGGGCTTGAGTAAGTGGATGGCGGAACAGGGCCTGGGAGAAGTAACAAAAAGACAAAACTTATTAAGAGCTACAAGGGACAGGAAGATGTGGAGGGACATGATCGCCTACGTCCTGAAGGAACATGACACATAAAAGAAGAATAACAAAAACAACATCGACAACACCAATAATAATAATAATACACTGATGGTACATTGACCCTTATTCTCATCGCTTTTAATATTAATTTATTGGAAGTTTTACATGTACA